ATGACTGGACTGACGGCATCTTCTCTACGCTTTGGAGAAAAACACTGAGAGCAAAGAAAGGTCTGAAACGTTTCTCCCTCAAACCTCATTATCTGACGCCATGAAAGGCCTCTGTGTGTGTGTGTGTGTGTGTGTGTGGGGGGGGGGGGGGCTTGTTTTTATTTCATTTAGTAAAATATCATATTAGCCATTGAATAAGTAATGATGAAACTCTTAAAATGTGATCATTGGAGGTGTTGGAGACTGTGACGACTAATTTCCTCTAATTGCCAACACAAATGTGACTACAGCTCAGCTCAGTCTGTTCAGAGATTCAACTGGAATTTACATAATTTTCACACACATGTTCCCGTTTCTACTGTCAGGAGAGCACATCTGGATAGTCCTGGACGGACCTGTTGATGCCATTTGGATTGAAAACCTAAACTCGGTTTTGGATGACAATCGAACTCTCACACTGGCCAATGGAGATCGTATACCGATGGCTCCCAACTGTAAGGTGGTTTTTGAGCCACACAACATCGACAACGCCTCACCTGCCACTGTGTCCCGCAATGGAATGGTGTTCATGAGCTCCTCTGTTCTCAGCTGGAGCCCCATACTCGAGGTAAATAAACTTTATATTTTAACTTTTTTTCTGATGCTTGTAGTATAGCATGAGTACAACCACAGTGACGCGTTTCCTCCTCAGAGCTGGTTGAAGAAACGGTCACCTCAGGAGGCAGAGACACTGAGACAGCTCTTCTCCTCCTCCTTCTCTGACCTGTACCGTTTCAGTGTGCAGTCACTAGAGTTCAAGATGGACATGCTGGAGGCCTTTGTCATCATGCAGTGTATAAACATGCTCCAGGGGCTCATTCCATCAAAGGTAAGACTTGTCTGAGCTTTGCCTGCAACAGACTACGGTTAAACAGAATTTCTTTTTTCCTGTATGTGTTCAAGTTCCCGAGTTTATCCCAGGATAAAATGACTGTCCAAGCAACTTTTAGTTATGTAGTTTATGTTTCTGTGCACTATATATCATGTGCATTTAAGCTTATATTACTACCTGTGAAACTCTTATTTATACAAATTCATCTTACTTGCACTGTTATATTCTACCATGATGTTGTTTACTATATTTCTCTTGGACTTTGTAAATAATACTTTTTTTCACTTTTTGGTACTTTATTTTGTTTGTACCTGTTTGTTTGTTAGTTTTTAGAGTAGAAACGGTTCTTCTCATCCTGAACATTTCATTCCATTGTTGACCTTGTGTTAACCTACTTTTGACAAATAAACAACATAAAGAACTGGAAGAGAATATTTAAATGGAAATATTTCTAGTCCATGAAAGGTTTAAGAGTTGGATGTTGATGAACTTGAGTGCCATATTAAAACCACACTGAATATTTTGTCTCCAATTGCAAAAAAAACAAGCACTCTGAACAACTGTGAAAAATAACATCCTGCTCCTTTCTAGGAAAGTGTGCCAAAGTAATAAAAAATAAAAAAGCCACAAATCAAGGAGAGCTCCTCCGAGATTTTTGTCAAATCCCAGATCTGAGGAGGATTATTACATCTTCTGCAACATAAAAAAAACCCCACTCACGGGTCTTCGTAATTTTTTCAAAGAATCTTATGATCTGATGAAACTAAGATTCAACGTCTTTACTGCAGAGCAGCTTGTGTGCAGAAAACCACACTTTAACCTCCTTATTTGAATCTTTGCTGTCAAACATGACACAAATAATCTTTAAGGACAATATCTGCAGCAAAGCTGGAATAGTGAGGATAGAATAAAGCACTGATTCAAAAATAAAAACATCTTCAAGCAGAACAATATTTAAATACAAAAAAAAAAAGTTAAATATATACAGTATATATATATTTTTAATTCTGTATCTCCAAGAGAGTTCCTCCAAGTCTAAATCCCCAGACTGAAAATGAAAATAATGAAGAATGAAAAAACATCAAAATGAAAAATAGTACCAAGCTGCAAGGATCATTCATACTGAAGGTGATTTAACCTTTCCCGTCTTGCTACTGGGACTCTATCCGGCAGCTCGTAGTTATTTACTTCTTTAATGCAGAGGTTCAGCTATGCTTCTTCTGAGTTATTTAATGCACAGTGAACTCAGCTTCTTTATCACTTTTTTCCCTAAAGAGTCTTAGAGGTGAGAAATGACAAATGAGTTTTGAAACTTCCGAAGTGAAACACATTGTGAGAAGAATCGTGGAGTCTGAGAAATTTCACTTTATAAAAGCAAAATCCTGGAACAGGACCTTTAGCAGGTCTGTAGCAGGACCAAGACTTTGGAAGGAGTTACCTCTGCTTGTCAGACAGGCCCCCTTCCTCTCGGTTTTCAAGTCCCGCTTAAAAACCCACTACTATTCGGTAGCTTTCAACACCAGATGATCTGTGTTTTGAACCTGTATGCTCCACACTTGTTAGTCGTCATTATCTGCATCGTTTTTATGTCTATATTTCTGATTTACTTCATTTTGTATTTTGCTTTTTGTGTTACCTGTTGTTCTGTCTGTACAGCACTTTGGTTGGCCTTGTCGCTGTTTTAAGTGCTCTATAAATAAAATGGTATGGTATGGTATGGAACAAATATGGATTGTGTAGCCTCTGAACTCTCAGCGTTCAGGCTACCAGAATCAGAACAGTTTCCTTTTTGTTCAGCAAAGTCAGCTGATGTGTCCAGAATGTGACCTGAAACTGTCAGCGGTGGACACGAGCTCATCTGAGATAGATAGAAAGACAGTGGGCACATGGGCTGTAGACAGTTATTAAAAAAAACTTTTTTAAAAAACTACTTTGGTCCAGTTGGAAAAAAAGGAAAGTTTTTGCTTTTTAAAATCATACATTTTCTTAATTTCTTAATGTGTTATCAACTAACAAGTTAGCTTTAGATTACCCATACTTTTTTATTTATTTATGTATCCATTAGACAGTTGATAAGAAGCTCCAAATCTACTACAAAACATGCCATCTACTTTATTACATGTTAATAATATATGACATTACATATTACATACTAAGGGGCTGTGGTAGCTCGGTGGTCAGTGCTGAGGTCCTGCAATCCTGAATTTGCGGGTTCGAGCCCAGGTTGCATCAGGGCATCCGTTGTAAAACAAACTGCCAACTCGTTCATGTGTTTGCGCTCTGTGGTGATCCCTGAAGAAGGGAGCAGCCACAACAAACTTACTTACATATTGCTTTTAATCAAGTTTTACCAAACTGTTTTGTTTTAAATAATATTGTAAGTAAATCATAGCTTACATCAAATATCTATATAAATGTAATTACATTAAAAAATACAAACACCTACTGGATCTAGCTTTAGAAGCAGTTTGGGTTCAGATGGTCCTTGCTTGCAGATTACAGGAGGTTATGTAAACCTGTTTTTATTTTTTTTATTCTGTTTTACTACAAAACACGTCATACAAGGACTTTGCTCACCTGGCTCTCTGAGATGTTTGGGTTACATGCATGAAGGTGTGAATTAGTGTGAAAGTGGCTGGGTAAGTTGGGAGCTAAAGTCTGAGACCTCATCATCCAACTTTAAACAGAGGAGGTAAAACCCAAACTATGCATTTGGGTTTGCCAGGTCTGTTGCCCCCTCCCCCCCTCCCCACCACCACCACCACCACCAATGAGCTTCTCAGCGTGTCAGTGTCTCTCAGAAGCCAAGATGGTAAGAGGATCACCAATTCTATCATTGTTGCGCAGAAAGATAGTGCAACAATACCAGAATGGTGTTACCCAGCATAAAATAGCAAAGACTTTTAAGTTATCATCATCAACCGTGCATAATATTATCAAAAGATTCAGAGAATCTGGAACAATCGCTGTGCGTAATGGTCAAGGCCGTAAAACTCTACTGGATGCTCGTGATCTCCGGGCCCTTAAACGTCACTGCACCTCAAACAGGAATGCCACTGTCAAGGAAATAACAGAATGGGCACAGGAATACTTCCAGAAAGCTTTGCCAGTGAACACAATCCACCGTGCCATCCGCCGTTGCCAGCTGAAACTCTACAGTGCAAAGAGGAAGCCATTTCTAAGCAAGCTCCACAAGCTCAGACATTTGCACTGGGCCAGGGGTCATTTAAAATGGAGTGTGGCAAAATGGAAGACTGTTCTGTGGTCAGATGAGTCACGATTTGAAGTTCTTTATGGAACACTGGGACGCCATGTCATCCGGACCAGAGAGGACAAGGATAGCCCAAGTTGTTATCAACGCTCTGTTCAGAAGCCTGCATCACTGATGGTATGGGGTTGCATGAGCGCTTGTGGCATGGACAGCTTGCATGTCTGGAAAGGCACCATTAAGAAGGATCCGGGTACTGAAATGGCCAGCCTGCAGTCCAGATCTTTCACCTATAGAGAACATTTGGTGCATCATAAAGAGGAAGGTGCGACAAAGAAGGCCCAAGACGATTGAACAGTTAGAGGCCTGTATTAGACATGAATGGGAGAGCATTCCTATTTCTAAACTTGAGAAACTGGTCTCCTCTGTCCCCAGACGTCTGTTGGGTGTTGTAAGAAGAAGGGGGGATGCCACACAGTGGTAAAAATGGACTTGTCCCAACTTTTTTGGGATTTGTTGACGCCATGAAATTTGGAAACAACAGATTTTTCCCTTAAAATGATACATTCTCTCAGTTTAAACTTTTGTTCTGTGATTTTTGTTCTATTCTGAATAAAATATTAGATGTTGGCACCTCCACATCATTGCATTCAGTTTTTATTCACAATTTGTTTAGTGTCCCAACTTTTTTGGAATCCAGTTTGTATAATAAATAAAGTCCAGTTGTTTTTGTCTATAACCTTTTTGAATTTGTCATTGTAGCCACATTTTCTTATTACATGATACAAGAGCCAACAGCATGCCATACTACTATTACTACTCTGCTGCCATCAAGTGTCTGAAATTGGTACTGCTCAATTTTTTTTCCAGTCCGAATGAATGAAAACAGTCATATCTCAACCAAAAAAATATTTATAAATATGGGAAAAAATCCGTAAATATGTTGCTTCGGTCCTTAAGTCACAGGGCATGCAAATTATGCAAAAATTATTGTTGTTGCTGTTGTCCATTGTTGTCATCATTCTTTGTTGAAATCAGGCCTCTATTTTAAATGAGTCCTCGAGGCTCAATGGGATTTACCTGTCTAAATAAAGGTTGAATGAAAAAAAAACTGTGACTTATACAAAGAAAAATATGGTATACTTATGAACCTCCGTATGCTCAAACATGGTGTTAGTTATGGACAACCCATGGATCAAGCACAGAAGTCCAGTAAGCAAACACTATTCAGGTTCAGATCAGGGAGGCCATTCCTCCCAATCACCCCCTTCCAGATGACTCCATCATTGCCCACATACAAGTCACCCAGTAGAACGAGGGAACCCCCAGCTGGCGTCCCTTCCAGGACACCATCTGGGAGATTGGGTAATCTAAACTAATGCTTGGTGCAGAAGCACAAACAGCTGTGAGAATCTTCCCTCCTGCAGCTCAAAGCTGCAGCTAGACAACCCTTTCATTCACTGGGGAAAACTCTGACACCAAGGCATTCAGCCTTGGACTTATGAGTATCCCCACGCTCGCCCAACACCTCTCTCCCAGGTCAATTCCAGAGTAGGAGAGTCCAGCCTCTCTCCATGAGTTGGGTTCCAGAGCCCAAACTGTGCGTAGAGGTGACCCTAAATATATCCAGTTGGTACCGCTCAACCTCACACACAAGGTCCCAGTCCTTACCCATGAGTGAAGTGAGGTTCACATTCTGTAATATTTGATATAATTTTGCTTGTTTATTAGATTTTTTGTTTAAGTACTTTTATTCTCACTCTGCAGGAGCACTGTGGTGAGCTATCCAGGGAGCACCTGGAGCGGCTGTATGTGTTCGCCCTCATGTGGAGCACCGGAGCTTTACTGGAGCTGGAGGACCGCAGGAAAATGGAGCGCTGGCTCAGAGGAAATGGCATGATTTGTCTGGATTTGCCAGACATTGCTCCTGACAGCGAGGACACCATGTTTGACTTCCATGTCACAGCAGATGGTAAGAAAGCATTTATTTCAGAGATGCCACCTGAATGTCAGTTGTCCTCCCGAAAAGAAAAGTACAAGTCAAGATTACATGATACTTTATGCAGCTCTTTATGTGCATTAGTAAAAAAAAAAAAAAATTCAGTATGAATAAAAAAAATTCAAAAGCATCTTTGTCGTGTCTTGTGTTTTTTTTTCTACAGCACAGTTTATCTTCCTAATCTATACTTTTTGTTCCCTTCAGGTCAGTGGGTCCACTGGAACACCAAAGTTGATGAATATTTTTATCCATCTGATTCCACTCCAGAGTACAGCTCCATCTTGGTCCCCAATGTTGACAACGTTAGAACAGACTTTTTAATTCAGACCATCGCCAAGCAGGGCAAGGTAGTTTTTATTTTTATTACCTAAAATAAAATTTGATTGTGAGTGGTTGAAAAGTCAGAAACGTAACTGATAAAATACTACGACTTGATGTTTTTCTAGCTAACACCTGTAGACATACAAAGTTTAATATAGAAGAAAAACACTATACAGTATATTCTCCTGATGTATGCTCAATAATCCAGAAAAATCTAAAAAAGTTAAATCTGGTCCTCTGGACATTCACAAAAAAACAAAAAACAAAACAAAGCAAAAAAATGTAGATACGTTTCGTCTTTCATCCGAAAGACTTCCTCAGTCTGAGGTGCTGTATTCAGCTATTTAAGGTGCTATTTAAGAGACTGAGCTGGGTAACCATCTTGGACAGGTCTCTAGTCCATCACAGGAACACATAGAGACAAAAGAGATAAATGACTATTCACTCTCACCTAAGGACAATTTAGAGTTACCAATTGGCCTAACATGCATGCTTTGGTCTGTGGGAGGAAACCAGTGTACCCAAAGAAAACCCACACAAGTACAGAGAGAACATGCAAACTCCTCCCAGAAAGGTCCCCGAAATGGGATTTGAACCAGGGCGACCCGCTTGAGAGGCAGCAGCTCTACCAACCATGCTGCTCATATATTCTCTCTGTGTGTGTGTGTGTGTGTGTGTGTGTGTGTGTATATATATATATATACTGTATATACTATTATTAATATTATTTACCAATTTATTTATTTTTGAAGGCTGTTTTGCTGATTGGAGAGCAAGGAACAGCAAAGACAGTGATCATCAAGAGCCTCATGTCAAAGTACGACCCAGAGACTCAGATGGCCAAAAGTCTGAACTTCTCCTCTGCCACCACACCCCTCATGTTCCAGGTGAAGCATTGCAGTGTGTTTACCTTCATCTGAATGAAAAACATCAGATTTCTGAATTTAATTCAAGAACTCTAAGAAAAAGATGTCAGATTTTGTAAGCAAGTCAAAATTCAGACACTATTTCCAGAACTCTAAATAAAAAGTCACAATTCTTATGACAATAGTTGTGATTCATACATTTTTCCTAAAATTCTAAGGAAAAGAAGTCAGAATTCGGACTTTAATTCCAAAACTTAAAGAAAAACATGTTAAAACAGAATTCAGACTTAATTCCAAAATTCTAAGAAAACGTCAGAATTCTCACGTTTTTCTTAGAATTGTAAAAAAAATATTTCATTGTTTTTGCTGGATTCTTTACAAACTGTATTTTGTTTCTTCGCCTTTAAGTTTCACAGTGACTACATTATCATAACAAGCATGATGTATTTTGTCTCAGTGAACTCAAAGACAACTAACTTTAACCCTCATCTTATTGTCTTGTTAGGTATCATATCTGTCCGGTAACTGTTTTTTGTTTGCTTTTTAGAGAACAGTTGAGAGCTACATGGATAAAAGGATGGGGACCACCTATGGCCCCCCTGCTGGGAAGAAAATGTCAATTTTTGTAGATGATATCAACATGCCTGTCATTAATGAGTGGGGAGATCAGGTGAGGGATCCATGAAACATTTCTGTACTTTTTATCAGAACTTTATGAAAGAGTCTTGCAGCAACAGTTTTGAGTGTGCCTTTTATCATAGGTGACCAATGAGATTGTCAGGCAGCTCATGGAGCAAAATGGCTTCTTCAACTTGGAGAAACCTGGAGAGTTCACCAATATTGTTGATGTTCAGTTCCTGGCAGCCATGATTCATCCAGGGGGAGGCCGTAATGACATCCCACAAAGACTGAAGAGGCAGTTCTCAATATTTAACTGCACACTGCCTTCTAATGCATCCATAGATAAAATATTTGGTGGGTAAAACTATAACAAATGTATTACTTAAGTACAATTTTAATGAAAAAGAATGTGAATTGTTGACCATTTATGAAATGCTACAAATACAGCATAAGGCAAGGATACGGAAAATGAAGCAAATATTTGAATTGTAATTTGGACAATCTGAACCACTATTTTATATGCACTTGATAGAGCAAACTAACAAATCCTCATTCTTTTGGCTCAGGTGTGATTGGTGCGGGCCACTTCTGCACCCCTCGTGGTTTCAGCAAGGAGGTAACGAGCATCGTGCCTCACCTGGTTTCTCTAACTCGCCACCTCTGGCAGCTGACGAAAGTGAAGATGCTGCCGACTCCAGCAAAGTTCCACTACATCTTCAACCTGAGGGATCTGTCCAGGGTGTGGCAAGGGATGCTCATCACTACAGCTGAGGTGGTCCACTCTGTCCAGGTAAGAAGATTTTTATATCACGGCTACAAAAAGCATAATTTTAATCACATCAAACAAATTAAAGATTAAAATGATGACTACATCTTACATTATGACATGAAATATTCAGAGTAATGTAGATAAAATCCATATTTGTTGAGTTGGAAGAATATAGCAGGAAAAATCTGCAAAGCTCTGAGGCGGCAGGGCTCTGGGAGTGGATGATATTCACCCTGATTTCCTTAAAGCTCTAGATGATGTGGGTCTGTCTTGGCTGACTGCCTTTGCAACGTCATGTGGACATCGGGGGCAGTGCCACTGGATTGGCAGACTGGGGTGGTGGTTCCCCTTTTCAAAAAGGGAGACCGTAGGGTGTGCTCTAATTATAGGGGCATCACTCTCCTTAGCCTCCCGGTAAGATCTGTTCAGGGGTATTGGAGAAGCGAGTCCGATCGTTGGTCGAACCTCAGATCCAGGAGGAACAATGTGGGTTCAGTTCTGGCCGTGGAACACTGGATCAGCTCTTTACCCTCACTAGGGTCCTTGAGGGGTCATGGGAGTTTGTCCATCCAGTCTGCATGTGTTTTGTGGACATGGAGAAGGCATTCGACAGTGTTCCTCAGGGTACACTGTGGGGGGTGCTCCGTGAGTATGGGATTGGAGGCCCATTGTTATGGGCTGTTCAGTCCCTATATAAGCGTTATGTAGATGAACAGATGCTGGGATATATTCATCATTTAACACGGATTCCTCATTTTTCTGGACTGAATAAAACGTGCATTGAATTTAAGGAAATGCAAACGTGAGACGTCATTTATATTTGACCCATCAAAATGAATGCGGTCATTTATTTACAGAATCAAAATTTAACATCAAACATTTACATTAATTTGGCAAATTATGAAAATAACAACATAAGCAATCAATCAGGAAAAATCATACGGCCATGATTTTTCCGTTGCTTCACCACAGACATTTATGAAAACTGTACAACTATGATCTTTTACCCACATGAATGTGGGTGAGCATTTTACACAGACATTTCTAAAATATCTGGAAGAATTTCTACTTGATAGAAAAGTTTAAAGATGGAAGAAGTTAAGAGGGAGTAAGAGGGTGTGTGAGGGGAAGTAAGTGTTCACCAGAATTGACACTCTCCATCAGAAACCCAGCTCGCCTCGGTACGCTTGGTAGGAAACTTGACCCATTACCTTTCTGATGATAATCAGCAGATATGGTGTTCCGTTAACGCTACCTGTCCAGCGTCTCCTTAGTATGGCTGTAGCTCGTCAGAAGTAGCGGCTAGTGAAAGTGTTATAATCCCATGGAACTCGGAAGAGCTTTTTGTCATGTCAGGATCATCCACAGAACTGTCCAGAACTGAACAGAACAGAACTTCTCCAGAGCTTCAACAGAACTCGAGCAGAACCAGCAAAACACTCTCCATCAGAACTCCATCAGCACTCCATCAGAACTCCATCAGAACTCCACCAGCACTGCATCAGAACTGACTAGACCAGGAAGTACTGACATTTTAAAGACTCTTTCCCGGTTCACTTTTGGGATTTGTTCATTGGTCAGAAACGACCAGACGGGGTGTGTTTTGTGACGTAAGAGGTTAGAGACAGCGAGAATTGTTATGAAACAGATCAGAAATGTTCTCACAGACAGAGAGAGTTTTGTTTTGGCGCGTTTCAGAAACCAGGTGCTAAAACTTCTCTATTTACGTCTGAGAGGATTCTAAAAAACATGACAGTTCGTTCAACAACTTGTTTTTCGTTTGACTCCAACCTTGGAAACGCACACTTGCTCACTCAAAGGCAGAAATCAGAAAATGCATAATTATTCTGTAACAGCTTTGACATGAGAATAAAAATCATTACTCAGTTAATAAAATTGATTAGTTCACTGCAACATCTAAAATGGTTTGAACTAAGACATTTTGATTATCAACATTTGTAAAATAGTAATGATAATAAAAAGAGAGTGTTCTTTTCACTTGAATCTTCAAGAAAGAAAGTCTCAGGATGGGTGAACCTGTACCTCTGAGTTCAAATCAATGAAATGACAGTCCCTGTCCCACAAGGCTCTTAAGGTCAAGATTTTTGACCTTAGACTTAGTTTTTGACATGGGCCTAGTCCACTACAGTTACGAGAGTTTGGTTCACATTGCCGGCACTAAATTGGACCCCTTCAGGGTGGGAGTTGGACTCTGCCAGGGCTGCCTGTTGTCACCAATTCTGTTCATAACATTAATGGACAGAATTTCTCAGTGCAGCTGGCAGAGGGTTTCTGGTTTGGTGGCCTCAGGATTCCATCTCTGCTCTTTGCAGATGATGTGGTCCTGTTGGTGTCATCGTGCCGTGATCTTCAGCTCTCATTGGAGTGGTTCGCAGCCGAGTGTGAAGCGGCTGGGATGAAAATCAGCACCTCGAAATCTGAGGCCATGGTCCTCAACCGGAAAAGGGTGGATTGCACTCTTCAGATAGAGGGTGAGGTTCTGCCTCAAGTGGAGGAGTTCAAATATCTTGGGGTTTTGCTCACAAGTGAGGGAAGAATGGAGCATGAGATTGACAGATGGATTGGTGCAGCATCTGCAGTATTGCGGACTCTGTACTGGTTTGTTGTGGTGAAGAGAGAGCTGAGCTGTAAGACAAAGCTCTCTGTTTACCGGTTGGTCTACGTTCATACCCTCACCTATGGTCATGAGCTCTAGGTAGTGACCGAAAGAACAAGATCACTGATACAGGCAGCTGAAATGAGTTTTCTCCACAGGGTAGCTGGACTCTCCCTTAGAGATAGGGTGAGAAGTTCAGTTATTCGGGAGAGACTTGGAGTAGAACCGCTGCTCTTCCACGTCTAGAGGAGCCAGTTGAGGTGGTTCGGGCATCTGGTAAAGATGCCCCCTGGGTACCTCCCTAGGGGGGTGCTTCGGGGATGTCCAACTGGGAAGAGACCCCGGGGAAGACCCAGGACATACTGAAGAGACTATGTCTCTCAGTTGGCCTGGGAACGCCTTGGAATCCTCCCAGAAGAGCTGGAAGAGGTGGCTGTGGAAAGAGATGTCTGAGCCTCCCTGCTCAAGCTGCAGCCCCTCGACCCAACTTCGGAATAAGCAGAAGATAATGGATGGATGGATGGAAATCTGCACCTAAAGTTGGCTTGGTTCCTGCGGAGGTGGCTTGTTCAACATTGGTTTGTGTCCATTCTGAATAATTGAATACAGTGAGATATCTGTCCCACCTCAGGCTGTTTTAAATGTAGGGAAACATGTCCTAGATCCCTGCTGTGGCTGCCAACAATAACTTCACAATACACCACATAAAAATAATACAAAATTATTTGGCACATTGGTAGTTTGTGTGAGGTGACTTTTATTTTGACAAGACCTAAAAATCCTTCTATTTTTTTCTTCTTTCATTTTGTCACAATTTTTCAAAAGCTACATGTGTGTTCCTGAGGAAAAAAAACACAGCCATCGGAAAAATCCATTAAAATGTAACTTTTTGGCCCAATATTTATCATATCATAAATATTCCTCTCATTATTATTTTTTTTCATTTTTACCTCTATCACTATAGGTTCAATTCTTACATTAGCTCACTATGTGATGCTCTGCTTTAATATTTGAGAGCCTCTGTAAGAATTTAGTCTTTCTCTCAACCCAGAGGAGGAGACACTTCATTCTCGGCTGGACTTGCTGTGGAGCTCCACTTCTCGTCTCCTCTGACAAAATAGTTTTAGTTTGGACGTAGGGAGCAAAAACATACTTGCAAGTTACATGAGAGTAGCATTTAATATAACAACAATTTGTTCAACATGCATGCAGGCTGCAGAGTTGAATGCACAACGGATTAGACTGGTTAGCTCCCGTTAGTGTCCTCCAATTCAATTAATTTCAATTCAGTTTATTTATATAGCGCCAAATCACAACAAAGTTGTCTCAGGGCACTTTACAGGAACATTCACATACATAGAAAAGCCAATTAGTAAAGTTCTCTATCAAAGGAATCCAGCAGACAAGTTGAATCTTGGCTTCGTTGCAGTCTCCCATCCTGAGCAAGCACAGTGGCAACAGTGTAAAGGAAAAACTCCCTTTTAAAAGGAAGAAACCTCCAGCAGAACCAGGCTCAGGACAAGTGGCCATCTGCTTTGACCGGCTGGTTGAGAGGACAGGAAGGAGAGACAGACGAATACAGAATGGTAGGTCCAGATATAGGTCCAGGTGCATCTGAAAGACAAAAAAAGACACATGTTAAGGATAGAAAAAATAATTACAAATACAAAACAGGTTGAGCAGAGTAAGTAAAGACAGTAGTATAGTGAAAATTGTGGTCAGTTTGTCCTCCAGCAGCCTAAGCCTATAGCAAGTCAAGTCAAGTCAAGTCATCTTTATTTGTAGAGCACAATTAAAACAGCATTATAGCATCAAAACAGATTATAGCAGCATAACTAAGAGACAGCTCAGGAAACCCAAGCCGACCCTAACTATAGGATTTAGCAAAAAGGAAAGTCTTAAGTCCAGTTTTAAAACTGGATAATGTGTCAACCTCACGGACAGAGATTGGAAGTTGGTTCCACAAGAGAGGAGCCTGATAACTAAAATATCTGCCTCCCATTCTGTTTTTGTAAATTCTAGGAACCACAAGTAAACCTGCAGTCTGAGAGCGAAGTGCTCTGTTAGGAAAATATGGAACAATAAGATCTGTAACATAAGATGGAGCTAGGTTGTTGAGAGCTTTGTAGGTTAGAAGTAAGATTTGGAATTCTATTCTGGACTTGACAGGGAGCCAATGGAGAGAAGCTAAAACTGGGGAAATATGATCTCTCCTACTAACTCCGGTTAAGACTCTGGCAGCAGCATTTTGGATCAACTGAAGACGTTTTAAAGACGTATTTGGACATCCAGATAATAAACCATTGCAATAGTCCAGTCTAGACGTGACAAATACATGGACCAGTTTTTCTGCATAATTTTTAGAAGATGTTTCTAATTTTAGTGATATTACGCAGGTGGAAGA